TGCTCGCATCAGCTGCTCGCATCAGCTGCTCGCATCAGCTGCTCGCAGCCGACCGATCTGATGTGATAAGGCATCACCTTGAGCCCCAAGCAGTGCGCTCAAGCGCAAGAGCTTTCCCGCAAGACAGGTGCGCCGCGATTCGACCTTGTAAACGAGACATCGAGGCTCTCGAGCACGAGAGTAGTCATGGACCCATGAGTTCCAGATGAAACCTTGAGATGCCCCAAAGCCTGAAAACACTCCAAGGAAGCAAAAGTCCTCATTAGTAGTCGTCCTCACTACGTAGCACTTTTAGAGTCTCCACTACACCTGCATCAGAACGCGTCGTCCGGCATCGTCCTCGTCCCACGGTCCATCACGGTCCTCGTCCTCCCAGGCCAGGAGGAGCGTTGTGACTTCCAAGTCGCTGATGCGCTGAAGCTCCTCGGACCGGTCGAAGGGGCCGATCCGCGGGGTCCACCCCGATCCGACGGAGCGGATTCTCCGCGGTGAGACCGGAGAAGGAGGATTGTTTTTTTTAATCAAGCCGGTTGTGGTTGTGGAATGAGCCTAAAAGAGTACAGGTTTGGGTGCCAAAATAGAGCATGTGCAAAACATAAACATGCAGTATACTGAGCCTGTCATGTCTTGCGTGGCTCATGTTGAGTCGGCAAGACTCAGCTCTTGAGAAGATCTCACAAAAGAATTGTCTTGATTCTGGACAAAAACGCGTGGCGTACACCTCGCGTGGCGTCTTCATGTTCCAATTGCTTTTGGATAGCCACTGCCATAGTCCTTCTCTATTCTAAGGAAGTCGACTGTAGACAAGATCTACAGTCCGCCCCATTTGCCCAGGATGCCATTCGCGGACGACTCCTTTGATCTCATTTGGTCTTTGGAGAGCGGCGAGCACATGCCGCGCAAAGCCGAGCGCCTCGGAGTCCAATGCAAAGCCGACCGCCGGTCTCGGCACGGCACGTGGCATGTGGACCCTTGAAGAAACCGCAGCTTGAAGCGCATGTATAGGGTGGTATGGAGAATCAAGGAACAGCACCCACATTGCACATGCCTACCACAGACGTGTATAATTCAACCAGACATGACACAGCCACGGATTTTGACGGATGCGAAAAGATTGGTGTTCTCAGTTTGTGCTGAGCTTCGTGCTCCAACCGAGAAACTGAGCATGAAAACTGACGTTCATGGTATGCTAGTGAGTGCCTTATGTTGTCCGGGCTGATTTGGCGCTTGCACCATGAGGTTCATGGCGGAGATGCATCGGGCTCCTTGGCAGCGAGGCAGAGAAGTATGAGCTCTCCGTTCCGAGCGTCCGATGGGTGGTTTATAGCCGCATGGGGCCCAGAAAACACCAGGAAAAAGATCACCAGCCAGGTGATCTAGTAGGACAGTTGGTTTGAACAGCGAGCCATTGAAACTCAACTCTCGTTGGCGTAGCGCTTTCTGGCGCAACATCGGCGGACTCCCCACGCCAGACCGCACCATACCTTAAAAAAATGTAAAACAATCTTCTTTTGAGTTACTAATAGGAATGGCCTCCAACGTACTAGCGATGGTCTCCAACCTAAGAGCGATGGCCTCCACGGTACGTACTAGCGACGGCCTCCAAATGCCTCCAACCATCTCCAACCTATAGCAAACCTAAATACAATTAGATCTATTTGACTACGCCTGATGGATTCCCGATCTTGAACAGCGCCTCCTCGCTGCCGATCGAGTTTGCTCGCTGCAGATCTCTTTGGCAAAAATATATCAGACCGAATCGGCACCTTCGGAACGACCTCGCAAGATCTTGAATCAGCACCAATCTCGCAGAAGACATCAAACGACTCCTCTTCCCCTGACCTGGAAACGAAACGAAAACGAGCGTTTCATTCTTCTCGACCTGGCATCTGTTGCCTCCGTCGGGCCGGACGCGGACGCTTCACTCAGCGGTTTTAGGTGTGCAAGCCCGGTGGGCGCATCATCTTGGTCACCTGGGTCCACCGCGATCTCCCCGCGTCGGAGGCCCTGTCGCGCAAGGAGAGACCTTCCCGATGCCGGACGTTCGCCCCACGCGACCGGGGCGCCATGCGACCCTGGGGGGTCGTGTTGGTCGCTTCCGGTATGGAGGGACCGGAGCGAGGGAGTACGGGGGATTTGGTGGTTCAGATGTGTTCTCTTTTGATAGAAGAACTTGGGGTGTGAGAGGATGAAACTTGTCCATCCCACTCTGAAAAATGGATAGCAGGGGGGTGGTCTATTTGGACCCATCAACATACACAACTGCCGGCCTCGGGGAGGAAACCGGTGACTCAGTCTGTTCAAGTCGAAATCATTTTCGTCCTCTAGGAGCAACGCTTGCTTGACAGTATCAGCAAGGCATACCATTTGCCTGACTGGTGTAGTTTCTTTGGCTGCATTGGAAAGGGACAAATGCTGGGAGCGTTCACAATCGTTCACAAACAGCCAGAAGGCTACTCTACTACCCGGAGTCATAAGTTGATTCATTTCCCCCGTCGCAAGTGATCCATTTCTCGTGTCACAAGTAATCCACCAATTTGCCCTGAGTGTTCACAGGTGGCCGGGTGGGGATCCATGTTGATCCGCGTGAATCACCTGCACTCGCGATCAACAGGGAGTTATGAACGAAAACGGTCCATTGAACTGAAGCCGGATCGATATTGGCTCCGACAAAAGCTTGCTAGATGCAGCCGAAGCCAGCCGATGGGTGTTTCTTGCTGGTGCTGCCTGTTTTGTGTAGCCATCTAGATACCGTCTAGAAAAGGATTTCTCATGATGGGATGGGACCCCAGCGCGTTGAAGAAAGAGCTTTAAATCACAACCTCCAAAGCACATCCCATGCCATTTCATCAGGAACCATATCCAATCCCAGTTGAGGGGCATTGCGTGTGATTGAAGATCTGTTGATGATACGGTTGCAGTAAAGGCGGTCAACAACCATCAACCAGTAGACATGCTCGTCCATGCTGGCAATTTTTGTGTACAAAAGGATCTTGCACGTGATGCTCAGGCATTGCAGACTACCGCCAAATCGCGCAGGAGCAGCTCGGAATGACAGGCGGGTGGGCGGGAAATCCGAGCTCCAGGTACATGACAAAATGCATCAAAATGCATTATATAGGGGATTATAGGGGCATAGGGTAGGGATCTTAGATAAGACCATGAGGCTCTATGAGTCCTCTTTTGCAACAAGGGACTATTGAGGTCCAGGCACCATTTTCACGATTTGGGCTGGTGGTTTAGCAATGGCTCGACGCCTGGAACGGCGCTGAAAGCCAGGGGGTTCAAGAGGATCCAAGAGGGTTGGGCAAGGGCATGTAATGGGACCTTGGTGTATCGACAAACTTCTACGGCGATTTGCCGGTGCCCAACGACTCCCAAAGCATGGCTGGGCTGAGGGGAAGGTGGAGGTGGAGACCGACGTGATGTTTTCTGTCAAATCAAATACGGAGTTGGGATGATTTGGGAGCAACTCAAGTCCTTTTGGAAGTCCTTCTTAGCGAGAAGATTGGACAAATGTATAAAAATGTTGTTTGTTGCCATGTTTCTTCCGGATCATGTTTAGAATAGCTTTGTTGAGACTTCCAGTGCCCAAGTGGACCGTCCTCAACTTCAACTTCAAACCCTCATGTTTCAAGACCCACCCACCCTCCTCTCTACAACCATCACCGCCATCCAGAAAACCGCCCGCACCCACCGCGGTGCGCCCTCCACGGACCGCCTTGCCCGCCATCCACCCCTCCGGCAGGTCTGCGGACCGACGACTGGAGCCAGTACATCGCGCCCTTCTGGTCGGCCGTGATCCGCAGCGCCCTGCAGCCACGCGGCTGGTGGGCTCTCTTACGAGGCGACGTGAGCAACGACTGAGCGGTGGGCAGTTGCGGTTGCGAGAGCGGGTGGCGGTTGTGGTTGGGTTGGGCGGTTGGGGGGGGGATGGCCGGGTCAGAGATGTCTATTCAGGTGCGACTTGAAGCTCCTTTCCCAGACGCTCCATGTATTGCTAGAATATGCTAGAATATTTACATACATTGGGGGTGGCACGAAAACGTTGAAAAGGGGTCAATGTAGGCATATATTCCATACATGGAGCATCTGGTGAATCAGGTCAGACCTTTCCTCAGGCCTTCCTTCTGGTGAAGCGTCCACAGGTTGGATCACCTGAGGCTCAGGCTACCGCCACACGGCGTTCACAGCGGTCTCGACACACATCGAAAGATGGAGCTGGCACAAACGAATGTCTGAGTAGATCTAATCAACAATCAGAGAGGCAACGCACCACTATACTGTATTATATATATATATATCAAGAGGTGTGGAAACCTCTGCGCAAGTTCTCCCGTCTTTGGATTTCTTGTGGTTAATTGATGCTATAGTTCCAATGGACCCCCTGTTCGTCAAAACCGTGAGAGGTCGAAAGCTTCGACCGTTCGTTCCCGCCCGCGTTGACCATGCCGAGTCGGCGAAGCTTGCGCCAGGTGGCCTCGAGACCTTCCGTGGCGCCCTGGTGATGCCCCTCATGAACCGCGGCTATCGCACGGGCACCATCCGTTTCGCGCTGCTCACGGGGCTCAAAACGGGCGGCGCCACGGGCTCCGCGCCAGGCGAGGAATACATTCATTTGGAGGTGATGGTGCTTTTGATGCGTTTGGTTTGAAATCAAGAGAAGAGGGTCTTGTCGCATGTTTTTTGTTCATGTTTTTTCAAAAGTCCAAGCGTCACCACCGGCCTTGTGGCGGCCCCACCCCAACAAATGCACCGCAAAAGAGGCCCTAGCGGCGGCGCTGGCACCTCTTCGAGTGGTTCGGGCGGCAGCGTTGCACGCCCAGCGCTGCGTGCGGCGGGATGGCAGCGGCCGCTGCGGCCCGGAGTTCGGTGGCGATCCCGGCTCATGAGCAGTGCATGTGGGCAGGTGGGGGTGATGAAACTTGTTGTGCTTGGGGGGTTCTCAGGTTGTCTGGCAAAGTGAATGCAACATGAAGAAGCTTTTCTGCACTGACTTGTAGTCACAGCACACTGCCACGCAGCACTCACGATTTGCAAACCGTCCGACGTGGAGGTGGTCTCCGCTACTAGCACGACATCATCCCTAGCAACCTGAATGCATTTCTGGGTGGATTCTGGTTCAAGTGGTTGGCAGGGGTCACAACACTTAATGTAGACTCTTGATGCATAAACCCAGCCCACTTGAATTGAAAAATCCTCTTCAGGCCTGGGGGGAGACCGAAGCCTTCTACCTCAACCACCCACAGGATGCCAGACGATGGGTGTATGGTCCTCAACAGTCTACATGACTAAGATGTGCCAAGTTACCGGGCTCGGACGACTGGGCGATCAAACTCGAGCTCGGATGCCCGCATGGAGCTCGGACGTTGTAAACTCGGAGGTCGCATGTCTATGGCTATGAGATGTAGACCCCCAAATAGATAGAAAGGTTAATGAAAAGTAGATCCCCAGTATGAATGTATTGGAAACCATTTCTATCTATTTGGGACCACTACAGGTTTAAATACCTTTATGACTTTGCGGCTATGCAATCATCAGCCTTGTGTGGCGAAAATGAGCAACATCAGTTCTCAGTGATGTGGGGAGCCAGTTCCCCACTGCCGCAAGGGGTTTTCTCTCCAGGACTTGGGGTCAGTGAATGCGGTGAATGGTCGCCATAGACTACTCCCCAAGACAAAGACCTGGACAGACACATCATGCTACATGCATCTTACATAGTGTTCACATGCAAGTTCTTCACCAAAACGACTCAGAAGGTCTATCTTGGACCAGCTGTTCACTTCCGTTACACTAAGGAGAGGCTCCTGCGGATGCCGAAAACGATCTGGGCAACTCAGATGGGAACCATCACGCAGTTGTGGCACCGGTCGGTGTTCTTCTCGTGGTCAAAAACCCTAAGTCCAGTCCATCCTTGACCAAGGCCCGTTTTGATTGAAGATGATTGAAGTGTTGGAACGATCCCAACATCATCGGAACGTGGAAACATGCCGCCGAAAGGAAGGCCGGTCCGATGTGTTCCTCATCACAAGGGGCGTGTCGAAAGGGTTCGGCCAACGTGTCGTGAGCAACAGGGGAATTCAGGGAGGCGATGAAGCGATTGACATTGGGAACTCTACGGGCACCACTATGACTGAGGTTTGGCTCCATCTTCATGCACCTGTAAGAAAAAGACACTAGTAACTATATAGTTGCTTCAGGGTGAAAAACCTCATCGGAAGATTCTCACTCCAATTTGAGTGATGTCCGTGAACATCTCCCAACTCGCAAAAAAGACCCATTGGACAACCATTCATTATCATTCATTCAATACCCAGTTCTATACCCATCTGATGCGCTGTCCTATCGTCGTCGATCCAAGGACTTCACGCGTCCTCATACGCTGATCGGGACACTCCTTTCGGTGACCGCTGCGCCTTGGCGCGAACGCTTCGTTTCTTCACCACCAAACGAAAGGATGAAAGGCTTTCTGAAAGGGCTGGGAGTTCCAGCAGAGGCGTTTGACAAGACAAAAAAGACATCTAGAAGCGCGACCTTGTTTCAGACCACCTCTTCGACACACCAAAAAAAAATCACTCAGGCTCAGCATCTGAAAAGAAGAAAAAGCGATCTCAAACAAGAAAAGCAAACAAGAGAGTCCAAAGGCTAATAGGACAACAACGCTGGTCCCTCGAGAAGTGGTGAGCGCCACTTTGAGTAACTGAAATGGCAGGGATTTGTGCCCAAGTTGCGGGAACTACTACTGAGCAGGCCCCAATCCCAAAATGCTGCACAAACAGCACTCATTCCTGCAAAAGGTGCTGAAGAACCCGAGTTTCGTCAGAAGAAAAGAAGTGCAACCAAGGGAAGGTCCAGTAACCCAGCGGCGTGTTTAAGCCAAACAAATACAGACTGGCTGTAGATTCCTCACGCAAGCAAAAACCCCAAATCCCCCAAAACCTCCACAGGTGCATCTCTATGCTGTGGCACCGGCTCTGGGTCTCCTGCACGTGGATTGGCCGACCTTCCTGCGCTTCACGCTGCAAGCGCTGCTGCCGGCCTTGTTGGTCAACGCGCCTTGGTCAAAGCTCGGACGACCGAAGGAAGACGGGCGCTGAGATGGGTTTCTTCGGGCGTGGGGAGAGACCGACAATTCCATGTTTCAGAGACCAAGGAAGATAAGGAAGTTCACACCCGAGAAGGACGGTCTTGTCGCAACTGTGGGTCTAGTTGTGGGTGACTCCTTCGTCGTTTGGGCGGCATGCGGAATATTTGTTGGTCCAACATCAGTATTCGCTGGTGAACGAGATAGGCCCCCCACCCTACATGAACGAGATATTTGGTTGATGACACTAAAGTAGTCTGAATGAGATACTGTGACATGACCTCCTACTAATAGTAACTAAAGTGGTCTAAACGAGATAGGCCCTCCACATAATAAGGTATTTGAGTTTAGTAACAAATAAATGCAGCCGCTCATTTGAGGAGGAAGAAAACGGCTCAGAGGCTCATGGGATTGTGAGAAAAGCTGTATAAAATGCAAGAGAAAAACGCTATGAAGAGTATGAACTACCTAAAAGCTGTTGTCTCGTGGTTGGATGCCATGGCATGGCGGATCAACAGGGTGCGTCACTTCTTCCGGAGGTTGACTGAGATGGGATCCGGTACGGATCCATCAGCTCACCTCGTGGTTTTCTTCGTGTCAAAGGGATTCATGTAGACTCCCCATATGAAGAGGTGAGGCTCTCGCTTGTGACGCATATGAAGAGGTCATTGATGGTATGTCATTAGAGATTTCAAGAGTCTACATGAGTGAGAGCCGAGCTGTGCGACTGTGTGTGCGACTGTGGGATCCGATCCGGCCAGCCGATCCGGCTAGCCTGGCGGAGGGGCATCTGGCTGGCCGATCCAGCTAGCCTGGCGGAGGGGCAATGGGTCCCCAAGTTTTGAAGCAGAGGAGTTTCACTCATTAGTAGCAAGGACGCTATTAGGTTGGAGGCCATCGCTACATCGCTATTGGGTTGGAGGCCAACGCTACTAGTAGCAAGGACGCTATTAGGCCATCGCTACGCTGTTCCTCAGGTCTACATCACTGGCCTCAACCAGATCTTCGACGTGCCTTGGTATTCGTACCAAAACGCTTGGGGAGATGGGGACGAACCTGTGGTGTGAGGAGATACGAGCAGTCCAACGGCAGGAATGTTGGATTTGGCTGGACTGAAGTCCTGACATGTGACAGATGGGTTTGACTCTCAAGGGTTTAGTCTTGTGAAAATTCATCGGATGGGTCAAACATCTACAGAATATGAGCCGCCTGGTCCTTTAGCACTCATGTAAGATACTTCATGTATACTTCTGTTTTGGACAAGGTTTGGCTTCCCATAGCAACGGATCAAATCTGGTGTTGGATGATGCAAATTGTTTCCACCGAGAAACGGGAAATGCACAATATGAATGCATCCCATGTCCAGCAACTTTCAGGTAGCCCTGGCGAGGTTCATATCCTCACACCTTGGAGAAATGCCTCGTGTTGTTTCGTTAATTTTATCATTTCCTCATTTCCTCATTCAGTTCTTTCTCATTTCCTTAATGCTCATTTCCCTACTAGCTACTAACAAGTTACTAGTACTGCTGCTCAACGCTCGGAGAAATCACTAAGGTTGAAATCGACAAACAGTCGCAGCCTCAGAGTTGACAGTAGTGTGTATTGGAGCGTCAGAACGGTGGCTTGCTGCCTGATGCAACACCACTAGCCATGAAACGAAACATTACTTGTTTGGTATTGTTTGATGTTCTTTTAAAACAACAAAAACAGATGTAAATATTGTCAACCTTTATCGTCCCCAATTTGCTGGTGCTGACACGTAGCAGAAGCGGGGCTCTACAGGTTCTGGACTTGTGGTCCAATCATCCTTTTGAGACTGCTTGTGAAAAGAAATTGAAATCATCAAACGATGCGCAGTATGTCAGGGTAGGTAAAGGGAGTTGGAGTTTTGCCACTGATACCGCCCGGAGTTTGTTTTGAGTGTTGTGGGGTTGCGTCCGTCAAAAGGATTCTACGGCCGGCAGTCTGTTACAGAACAGTAGCTTGACCAGAACTGGAAGCTTCAAAGTACGATGCCTCCAAAAGTAAGTAGTATGTTAAGATGTGCCCTTGATAATTGAAGCTGAACCAGAGCTATGTGCAGTTACATGTTGCATTGGCATAGGGCCCGGCTTTCGTTTCTTCCACCACAGTCCACACTACGCCGCCCTACATTGAAACGTTCAGGAACTGTTTGCAAGCACCCACACAAGCCCTGATCCAGCTGCTTTCGGGGCGGCTTTTGTGGAATTGCCAACCTTCTCAGGAACAAGCCCTACTTGCCCATACCCTCTGGCCGCTTATCAGTGAAATCTGCATGGCTGGTGGTCTTGGGCAGCCTCTTCTTGGCCGAAGCGGTCACGTTGGCGTTCCCGCAGCTTGGGTTCCAGAGGGAGAGAATCAAACGCCGAATGTTGAGACTCTTAAGGCTGCCAAGCCTAGCTGCCAAGCCAGCTGCCAAGCCCAAGCAAAGCCACCAAAACTAGAAGATGCCGAAAGCGACATGACATCCAGACAGATGATTTGACGCATGAGCATCCATGAGCATCGTGCTGGCCAGGTGGGATGTCCGAAACCAAGCTACAGGTTGC